AGCTCAGCTCAGCTCAGCTCCTGCCGGCTGCTGCTTGGCTTCCCCCTCCATCCTCGCTCTCTTCCTCTGACCAGCTCAGGCTGTCGTCTGACTCATCCGAAGGGCCTCCTTGGGCTTCCGGGGAGCTGCCTGCCGCGGCATCAGCATTGTAATGCTGAAGGGCCTCTCCTCGGCTCTGCAGCTGCTCCAGCCTGGCCCAGGTAACAGGGCTCTCTTTCTTCAGGGCAATTTCCACCTTGGAAGGCAACAGGTTGGCAAAGCTCTTCTCCACGTTGATGACCTGGAAGGAGAGAGGCCCAGCAGGAGGCCTAGCTGGATCAGGCAGGCAGCCCCCAGTGTCTGCAGTGGCTGCCCTGAGCACTGAGGAGAGGAAGGGGCCCGGGGCCCGCCAACAGAGGCCACCCTCCCAGCCTTTTCAGAGAGCTCTTTCGAGCCCAGGTTCTCTCTTCCAAGGTGGCCTTGAAGAAAGAAAGCCAGCCAGTCAGCGGGCCAAACCTACCCCCCAGAGATCCAGCTGGGCCTGGAACATCTTGTCTCCCTCGAAGACTACCCGGATGTCCAGCTGCAAGGAAAGAGGAGCCTTTTCCTCAACCTGCCACAGGGCCTTCTCCCGTCCGGGAAGTTGGGATTGCCGTGCCCAGCAGGCCGGCTCTGAGGAGCAGCTGTTCCGCGGCAGCCCTGCTTCCTTACCACAGTGCGACTGGCCTGGATGGAGCTGAGGTGGGGCAGAGGGGTCTTGGCATAGATGGTCACCACCACTTGGCTGCTGGTTTGGTGCCAGTCCTGCCGACAAGAGACCAGCTTCTTGTCCTCCTGTGCTGGCCACAGAAAAACAGCTGGTCAACGTTCCTGCCGCCTCCTGTGCAGGGAGCTCCCATTCGCAGGCCAGTTTCCTTCCAAACTGCAGCCTTGCAGGACAGCCAGCATACCAGGGCAGGAGAAAACCTCCCCAAGTGGCCCTGAAGAGGAGGGAGGGAGGCGCCGGCCATTTCCTTCCTTCTCAACTGCAGGGGAGCTAACCTGGCTGCAGCTGGGCTTTTAAGAGCAGCACAGGGCACATCCTGCCATCCTCCAACCCCACAAGGGTTATCGTGGGGTTTCACATTCAAGGGCAGTCCTTTTTCTCATTCATCTGAGTGCCGTTTCTAAGGAAGGGGCGCCTCCTGCTCTGCCCGAGGGAGATCCTGCTGCTAGAACGTTGGTGGCAAACGCCGACCCAGGGGTGGCGGGGGAGAGCGGATGCACGAGGGTAGCTCCGCTGCGAGAGAGAGGAAGCAGTTTTTCTCGGAAGTCTGAAAGATGTTTGGCAGCGAGAAACCCACCTGTTGAAGCCCAGGACTATGCAGGTGGCCCAAGCGATGGCCGCTGCAGCCAGCATGCCCGGTCAGATCCCTCCCTGGTCCAGGCAAGTCCTGCCTCCCTGCTTCCTCTGGCTGCAGGCGGAGTCAAGGGCAGGGCACTGGAGCAGAAGACCCTCACCTGCTTTTTCACCCAGGTGTGCTTCCCTCTCCTGCAGCCCTTCTGCTCCAGGAATGCAGCAAAGTCTGTGGTTTTGATCCTGCAGCAGCTCCAGAATTTCATGCTGGGCAGATCCAGAGAGGAAAGGGCAAGATGGGAGACAAGCAGAGAGTTCAGACCGCAGATGTTTCTTTGGGTAGCTAGGATATGAGCCACCCCACCCCCCACCCTTTGCAGCTCCAGATGGCTCACAACAATCGGGTAAAGCATCCATCTAACAACCGTTATTCAAAGACAATAGGAGCTGCTGCAATGGCGTCTGCTTGCTTCTGCTCCCCTGTGAACAGCAGAGCGCGCTTAGGGAGGGGGGAAGCACAGCTGAAGCGGTCCAGCCGGCGTGAATCGGTACCAAGACAGGCCAGCTGGCCCACCAGGGCAGGAAGGGGGCTTGGAGGACGCCGGATCCCACAGCAGACCATGCCCCTGGCTGGTGGGCATCTCAGCCCAAGGCAGAGGCATTGGGGAAGGTGCCCTTGATGCTTACCCCTCGTGGAAGACAGGCACCCCTGGGTGGAACAGGCAAGTCTCCATCTTGCTCCTCTCCCCCTGGTAAATCTGGAAGAGGAGCCGGGCAGAAGGAAGGGTCGCCAAGTGGTCGGGAAGAGGCACCCCCTGGACCAGCCAGCGGCTCTGAGCTCTTTCAGCCCAGTGTTCCTCCCTCCCTCCCTCCCTGGGAGTAAGCCCCCTCTTGACCAGTGCCCTGTCCAGCCCAGCCAGAGTTGTGATGGTGCAGAGAAACCTGGAGGGAGGCTGGGCAGTTAAGAGGGGCCCAAGAGGGGACGTTAGAAGCCAAGCTGCCCTGGCCCACAACTCACCGCCTGGCAGCCAGCGTTTTTGCAGGCCGTGCTGGTGCTCACCTCCGAATCATCCCCTGAGAGATGTCCAGAAAACACAGCTCTTCAGGGCCCTTGCAAGACCGCTGGAGCACAAAGCTCTAGCCTGTAAGCAGGGCCAACCGCTCCTGTTCACAAGAGACCCTGTCCTGCCCCACGGCCCCTACAGACTGGGGGCAGTCAGAGGCTTGGAGGGCCTTCCCCAAGCTGGCATCTGCCAGCCAGGTTGGGACGGCTACAGCTGCCGACGTTCTTGGCCAGCTCTGCCCAGGTCTCCCATGGTTCAACTGCAGCTGTGGCTGGCTGGCCACGCAGAGTCACAGCTTGCGCCCCCCAGTCGACCAGGAAGAGGACAGCCTCTTGGGCAGCTCAGCCCCCCCCCCATTCTGGCTGCATCCTCCTTCCCCCAGCAAGCCCCATAGCGTTTCCCACCGGGGCTGGCCGAGCCATGCGGGGCAGGTGGCGTGGCAGGGGACGTGTCCAGCTTCTCCAGGACTTGCTGCAGCGCCTGGGCCACCTTCAGCGACAGCGGCTGTTTGGGCTCATCGGAACTGGAGGCCAAAGGAGAGGGGGAGAGGTCAGAAATGCATTACTGTTACGTCTTGGCCAAAAGGGGTGCCAGCACCTGCTCTTCTGCCACCCACCCACTGCAGGAGTAGGCTGAAGCTCCCATAACTGAAGATGAAGCAGGCACGTAAGCTGAGAGGACAAAAAGCCAGAATCTTGTCTAAAAGATCCCTTCAGAGAGACAGATGAGAAGGAAACCTTAAGGAAACAAGGGAAAAAATGTCACCTGAACCCCCACCCATCCCATCCCATCCCATCCCATCCCATCAACAGCTACCAGACTGATAAATTAGCAAGGCAAGAGTGGCTGCCAGTCTTGTGAATCAGCAGAGCAGGGCCTTTGGGGAATAAAAGGGGTTTTGAAGCCCGCCCGCCCGCTCTTGGGTCATCTTTGGATCCAGTCTTGGCGGCTTCCGTCCCTCTAGCTAGTGCCTGGCAGCCTAGTTGAGAAGGACGTGGGTGAGTGTGTGAGGAGGAGCGGGAATAAAAGGGGTTTTGAAGCCCGCCCGCCCGCTCTTGGGTCATCTTTGGATCCAGTCTTGGCGGCTTCCGTCCCTCTAGCTAGTGCCTGGCAGCCTAGTTGAGAAGGACGTGGGTGAGTGTGTGAGGAGGAGCGGGAATAAAAGGGGTTTTGAAGCCCGCCCGCCCGCTCTTGGGTCATCTTTGGATCCAGTCTTGGCGGCTTCCGTCCCTCTAGCTAGTGCCTGGCAGCCTAGTTGAGAAGGACGTGGGTGAGTGTGTGAGGAGGAGCAAATATACATTGTAACCAGAAAAGTTTTGCCCTTGCTTTAAATTCACTGGGTCTCCGTGTACTCCAAAGAACCTGTGGTGCCTCAGTGTTCGGTTGGAAGCGATGTGCGCGTGTCCCTAGTTATTTCCCGGCTGTTGACCAGGGCTGTGTCTCCTCTGCTCTAGCCACCCCTCTCTGGAAGACCCAGGGCGAAAGCAAGCCTACGAGGTGTGCGTGAGTGACCGTAAGCCGAACCTGGGAGCGCCTGCAGCGCCTGCAACGTGGGTTCCTTCCTACAGCGCACAAGGGCTTTCTGCTGCGTCCTGCCCCAGAGCCTCTGGCTGTGGGGACCATCGGGCTCCTCGTGAAGCCCGGGAGGCGCCTCAGCCCCCTCACCTGGGCCTCTCCTGCTGCAGCCTCTCAGCGGACTTTGGCCCCTGAACGAGGACTTCGGTGCCCATCTTGGGTTTCGGCTGGGCTGAGGCCTCCTCGGGCTCTGGAAGCTTCTCGTTGCTGTGGTAGCCTTTCGTGCAGCCCTTTGGGGAGAAATTGTTCTTATTTCGCTTTTATTTCAAAAGCCTGTCTGGCCCACCAGTCTTACAAGACTTTCCTTCTTGCATTAAGGAAGCAGTTGGCGATTCAGACACTGAACTCCGACTCCTAGCTGGATCCCGAGTTTGGATGGCAGCGGGGCACTTTTGCCATGTGTTGCTGTCACACCCCTCCCCTCCCCTCCCC